CTCATTGTTATTTGAACAATATTCCATCATGGCTTAGGTTCAACTCGATGAAAGACAATTACATGGTTGTCTTAATTAATAGAGCCTTCTATTTTCAATCCTTTACTTTTGTTTCTTGGATGGGTTTTCGATAGTTAATAACTACCATGGATCTCCTTTGTACATCGACAATATAGCAAGTTCTATCCAATCAAAATTAAATATTAATTTCAACTCCACATTTATATCTACTACCAATTTGTTATCACACATTTCGTATGATCCACTATTATTCTTTCTAAAAAGTTATTCAGACTTTTACACGAATAGTGGCTATGGAAAAATCATAAAAACAACATAAATTAATTCCTTGCAAATATATCTTGATGACTTGGAATAATAATAACATATCACGGCTAAATGAACGCTTTGCCCTTTTTATCAATATAGCACTTGCAGCTCGTATTTTCATTAATAATTTTTTCGTGATACGATCAAGAAATTGCTGTTCATGCATTCCCAAATATTAAGCTCAGGTTTAAACTATACTGTAGAGAAAATACTCAATGGACTAATTAACATATTGACAAGGCGACGAATTTCGAATGTGAATACTTGTTCACTATTAAATTCCTATGAGCTTCCAACACACAAATGTGCTTTTTTTTTTAATAACTGTGAATGTTCGGGCCAACTTGCGCGCATCTCGACTAATTCCACGAGGCCGTAAAATTTACGGTCGGGTACTTACTTCAGTGGTCTTGAGGGGACTCGATCTGATGATCATTGTGGAGCAAATCCAAAGTCTGACCAATTGAGCAACCCCTCAAAATTACCAACACCCAGATGTTGATCATAATAAATTGATCTCACCCATTGATATATTAAAGAACTTCAAGTTCATCAATAGCATTCACTACCCCATAGGAGATTTAAGCAAGTCAAAAGACATTCACGAGTCATTAATTTCTTAGCGTGATCCTACTATAAATTTAACAACATTTTACTTGACCAACTACAATTGCACTTGTGTTGAGGGTAATTGGCGCAAAACGTTCCTACCTTTCAAATTCTTTGCACTGAACGTCATTTTCATCAATTTTTAATATAAAATGACCAATATACTCTCCTATATAAATAAAACAAAAAAGAAAAGAAAAATAAAGAATAAATTGTAAATTGCTCCTAAACTTTTTAAAAAATGCAAATAAGTCCAAAACTTATGAAAATATTAAAAATAACAAAAATACACTCTCTTTTCTCCTCCACCTCCCTCCACCGTCTGATGACCGCATTTACTTTTCTCCACCACCACAACCTTCGGACATTGATACCAACACAATCTCCTCAACACCCTCTATAATTCCATCCTAAGAATTCCCCATATCATCCAATAATTCGGCAGAAATCAACAAGCACAATCAGCTACTAGAAAAATGGACAAATTACTAGAAGTCGCACCTCCGGCCAGCAACAGGATCACGGGCCACACCCATTCGGTTGCCCACACCCAGATGACCTCAGACATGTGGGCAATTCATCTAAAACACTTATCAAATATGTTCAATTTGAAACTGAAAATAATGCAGTCGCGACTATCGCGCCGCACACTAAACTTGGCTGATTCTGATGTTGTTCCGTTGACCCATGGTCGCGGACCACTC